CAGCTTGTGGAAGGAGAGGTGGATATCTTTGCTTTCCTATGGGTGTTTTAGTGCCAAACACATAACCTCTGAGCAGCAGCAGTTTCACACTCTCAGAACTAATGTTTATTTATCCTAAGTGCTGTTAAGAGAGAAATACTCGGTTTACTGAAGATGTGACAGTATTGAAAATGATGACAACTTCTCAAATGGTTGGTCTTGCAAAGTGGTCAGAGATGATGGATAGAATCTCGATGCAGAGAAACAGACTGATTTTAGATGATGTAGGAAAGGAAAATAGAGGCTTTTAATTACGTTCAGTGTGCAAGTATAATCTAGGACTACACACAGCTGTCAATTCTCAGTTAATTTGATGTCAATATAAGGGTTGTACAGCAACAAGAATTGATTTTTTTCCCTTTTCTTGTACCACCAAACTGCTTGTCATGATAATTATTTGTTCACTATCGTTTCTCACATTCAGCCATCACTTTAGGAAAATATACTCTCCTTGATGATCAGCACAGGTTCTACTATTTTCTAACCTTCTTCATCCTTTCTTTTTATATACCCTGTTTTAGCATCTTGTATCTATTTCCAAACAGTTACTTCCATTTCACTTTTCATGCTTTTCCTCACCTTCACTTACATTAGCTAAAATAATTTGCAGTGGAGCATTTTTTGCTGACACTTCAATGTCATCACCATGCTTTACATGCTTTATACTGTAGAGAATTAAATGAGAAATAAATGGTGTTGGTCATCGGGAGACATGCTGCCTGGCATTATTGTTTCAGGCTCAAGGTTTTTAGCATGTTCCAGAAGTGAAATCTTGAAATCAGCTAATCTTGAAAATACAGCTCATGTAAGTGTCATATTTACATCAGCTCACAGTAAATGTGTATGTAAACTTGTCAAAATGTGTTTTACATTTTGCAGTGGCTGCGTGTATCATGCAGGCCAGAAACCTGCCGCATGGTCTGAACTTAGCTTATGGCTTCCTCTGACCTACAGTAATTCTAGGCTGTGAAAATATTTACTGAATTTCGAGGTCATCAGCCTTTGTTCTTAAAGGATGGGAGGGAAAATGGGCAATTACTTTTTCTCTTTTGGGTGACTTAGTATGTAAATCTTGAAGCATGACTTTGAGTGGAGATGGTGCTTCCTACTGAGACAAGGTGAGTTAGATGTCAAAAATGGCTAAAAGTATTTGACTGGAGCGTTTCTTTGCGGTAAAAGAGCAATTTATTCAAACAAAATCTTTCTGGAAATGTAGTAATACAGAGAAAAGCTTTGAGAGAGGAAGATTCTTCAGTTTGGAAGATTTCTTCCATCTTCAGATGTAATTGTCAATCCAACTAGCACAGTGTGACTGCCTCACCTCCTTGGCAGGGCCAGTAACGCAAACAGCTTTGTACTTGATTTCTGGTGTAAGAAACTTTAATTTGAGTTTATGATTCAACTGTGGGATTTGAGCTGTCTTCCGTATCCTGGCTGAGTGTGCCAGCCAGCAGGCTGTTGGATCCTCAGGGACAAAACACTACACATTGAGATGTTCCTTTTTTTTTTTTTCCCAAACTATTTTAATAATTTCAACTAAAAAAAAAATCAATAAAACCTTTTTTTTCCCCCCACAAAACAGAAATTTCAGTTCTGTATCATCTCAGCATGGAAATTTCAAATTTAATATCTGTACACTAAATACAAGCATCCTACTTTTGACTGTTCCCTTGACTGTTCCTTTGACTGGTAAGTATCTTCAGCTTAAAGAGTCTGAACAGCAGGAGGTCCCTCCAAGAATTTCAACAGATGTTGACCATGCAATTCGTGTTGGAGGGGAAGAACAAGAAAATGCTCTCCTGTAGAGGGTGCAGGTGACTTACTGGAGGATGAGCTGACAGAAGGTACATGGGGTTGTCCTTAAGTCATGTGTGTTGTGTGTGTTTTCCCCTTTTAATTTATTGTATAAAGTACGTAACACATTTCATATGAAGCCTGATTTGCTAATGAGAGTGCAAAAACCGTTTGAAGGAGTTTGTGAGAAGAGGTCAGTCTGTTGGCTACATCATGAAGTAGTAAGCAATTCCTCTGAAGGGATGTATGAACTTCCATTGACCTTGCAAGGCTGGAGTGTCTAGGCCTTGCATATTGTTACTATGCAGGATGCCTCTTTCAGCTCCCATTGACCTGGATAGGAGCGAGAGCAGATCCCAGCTATACCAGAGCTATTTACACGGGCTCTACATAGAAACTTAGAATCATAGAGTCCTTAAGGTTGGACAGGACCTCTAGGGATCATCTAGTCCAGCCCCCTGCACACACAGGGTCACCTAGAGCACATATACGTGTTAAAATGCTGCATGCTGCAGAGGCAATTTTAGTGCTTCTGCACTGCTATCTAGACATCATAACTTCATCTCATCTTTCTCCTTTTATTGTGTCTCCTAAGACCTGTGTTCTTTTGGCTTGGGAACCTCCTGGGAAGTCATACCCATCATAGCTGTGTAGCCTCTGTTTACAGGGAGTCACCTTCCCAGAGCCACATCACTGGTGTCTGCGTAGCCACCACAGCTGCCTGTTCAGAGATATCTATAGTTTATTAGGCTTTTCTGCGATTAGGCTTTTTCTGCTTGCAGAGAGCAATTTGATTTTTAAGTTAAAATTGTGTTTTCCAAGAGAATTACATTGCTGCTTAACCTGATTTTATCTTTCTAGGGTGTCCTTCTATACAAGCTATGGGCAAACCTTGCTATAGTCTCCCTCCTTTTGGACTAGTCCAGTCCCCATCATTTTGGACTATTCCTAAGCCCTCAACTTCTCCTTTTTTCTTGTCATGCATGATGTGCTCAACATCTCCTGGATGACATCTGTGAGCAAGCAGCAATCCCACCATTGTAGGTCTTGCTTATGAGCACATATAGCCCTTGGGAAATGAAGTCTTATTTTCTTCTTGTGGCTATGGTCAATCAGCTAAATCTTTGTCTGATGCAAGTGAACTTAGTGGAAAACTCTGACAACCGATAGAAAAAATTGTTGTCGTAGCTTTGAATGTTCAGTATTCCAGTATAGCACTTCTGAAGCTCCAGCCAATGTCGCTTCCCAGCTGAGGTGCTAAAGCTTGGAAGTTTTACTTCATGCACCTGGCTGATGTAGGGACAGCACTTTCAAAGATCTACAAGTAATTTCCCTTCCCCAGTCCTTATAAATCATATTCTTTATGCAACAATGTTCTTATTTGCAAGTAGACTTTTCTCAATTATCAAAGATAAAACTAATTCAGAACTGCTCCCTATTAAGCTATAAATCTCCCTGCACTGTCTGAAGAACTGCCATGTGTGTCAGACCAGGGATCAGAGCAGCTCTTATCATCTAGCCCACTGTCCGGCCTCCAAAAGGAGACATACCCAGATGCCTAGGAAAGAACAGAAGAGCACTTGCTCAGCTTCCAGCTGTTATTAGCTCAGGGACTTCCTGAGGTGTGCATGGTTTCTGTGTACCTAGTAACAGGTTCTGCTTGGGAAACTTAGGCAGTCTTCTCTTGGACCTCTGTGAACTGCCTTCGCAAGAACTTCCATAGTTCTACTGACTTTGTGTGTGAAAAATCATCTCTTTCTAAAATTTGGTCTCTACTAGCTTCATATATTACTCCCTAGTTTTGGAAGAATCAGTGTTGCCTCTCTGGCTGCCTTCTCCAAGCTAAACTAGGTGCTCTGGGCCTTGCTTATATCCCTGCTGAAAAGCATTAGTTTAACTGTGGGATCTGCTTTCACATACAGAGTGGTCCTCTTTGATCGTCCTTGTTGCCTTTCTCTGAAGCTCTTCCAGCCCTATTGTAGGAGAAAGGATTAGATGAACACACCAATACAGTGATGGTCTCCATTAGGTTTTTGTGCTCCTTTCCCTAGCACTCTGTATGCTGGTGTGTACTTTCTTTTCCACTACTGAGTGGTGAGCTGATGTTTCCACAGACTGTCATAGCGCAGGATCTTTCTCCTGGATAGCAGTGATCAGTTTGGGGTCCATCACTGTATATGAGAAATTCAGATCAGCTTTCTCAACTATTTTGCTTTGCAGTTACCTTCTTAAAATATCACTTGCCATTTTATCATCCAGTCATTCAGTCTCTGTTGTTTCTCATAGTAGCCCTTGCTGGCACCACCTCGAGTAACTCTGAGTCACCAGCACATATTCTCAGGGCACTATCCCTGCCCTCTTCCTCATCACTTGTGAGTATCAGTATTTTCAACAGCGTGTGAACCAGTCCAGGCTCTTGAGGAACTGCACTGGGACCTCCTCCTCTTGCAGGAATGGAATGTTTTCCCCTACCATTTCCTATTTTTAGCCAAATGTTTATCCATGTGAGGACTTTTCTGTGCAATAACTGCTTATGGTTCATGTCATAGCTCCTCAACATACCTGTAATTTCAACAGTTTAGTGTATGTGTAAGAACTTCTTCAAGACGGGACTTCATCTTCTTTCATATTGAGCTGATACAATGTGGAATGTAATATAAACACATCGTAAATAATGATGTGGTAATAAAGTCTTTAATTCTTCTGTCTGGAATGTAATATATTATGGCTATTGGTCCCCAAATCAGTCACTGTTTATAATATATGGAATTATTAGTAATTTGTTGTAATTCCATGTAGAGGTTCTGCTGGCAGACTGAATAATGAGCGACATACCAGTGTTAGCTCACCAGAACCTAAAGATGGAGTTCCCTGTGCATATTTACCTTGTTAACACATATTGCTTATATATGCTAAAATATGCTTATTTCTGCATGTGAATCTTTATATTTCAGAGGTGTTTCATACCTATGAAAAATGGGCAGGAAGATTGTTACGCGCCAGCAGCGCCATCCATGTGCCAACTTCGTTTCAGGGGAACGCCTCTGAATTTCCTACAACTTCCTATCATTTCAAAGAGTAATTTAACAGATTTTTATGAATAAAGGCAAATGTTCAGACAAATCTCCACTTACGGCGTGGTCTTTTCTCTTTCTGATGTAACTCAGGTGTGATGGCTCTGCTGAGACCTCTTTTGCTGGACGTGGTGCCGACGATTCAGCAGACCGCTGCCCTGGCGCTGGGGAGACTTGCCAATTACAACGATGACCTGGCAGAGGCAGTTGTAAAGGGAGACATTCTTCCGCAGCTCGTGTGCTCCTTGTCTGAGCAGAACGTAAGGCATCCTTTACTTAATAATCTTTTTTTTTTTTTAACATAAGGAAGGGGAAATCTTTACTTTTCAGCTGTCTGCTGTTATTCCTGACGTCAGAGACAGCATGCATGCAACAGCAACCTCTTGAAAGGTTGTGTATATAATTTTGACTTTAAAATATTGTCTTACCTTTTAATTCCGTATATGAAAAATATCCATGCCACTTGTTTTCAAAATGTTGAGTGATACTTTATAAAAGGTCTCCATTTAAAAATGAGTCAATTTGAAAGCTGTAGTGGTAATTGATTAGGATTTGTCATTAATACCAAACACTTGTAACATACATATAAATGCTGTAGTGGAATACTTAATATCTCCAAACATAGTCATTTGAAAATCTATAGCATGCAAAATATCAAGCTACTAACACAGGAAAATACAATTAAATGTTTTGATTTTCGTATTTCTTTAAAAAAAAAAAAAAGCCCAGTGCAGATAAATCCAATGCCCTCTTAATTTCCCTTCTTGACATTTTTCCTCACTTTTTGTATATACTAGTGTTTGGATCTTAAACTAGAGTAACAGAAATGCTTTCAAATACTGTTCTTAATGATTGGAAAAAGAAAGAAAGCTGAGGGTTAAATGTATTGAGATCATGGGTTGTATTTTTGATTTATTTGATTTAGGAAAAGCAGGATTTCAAAGAAAATATAGCTTGGAAATGATATATTGCCATTTCAGTCTTTTGAGAAAAACATAAATATAAGTACTTACTGCATGTTTTCATTGTTGCATATCTGGTCATGCTTATACAGTTTATCTTAAAAATATGTCAAAGAAAAACATTAATGTCGAGACAGTGGTATAACAGGGAAAGAAAATTCAGGTTTTAGTTAGACAAATTTATAACCATTTTGGTTAATCTATTTGTATTTTAAAGGGAGGAGACAAACAAAAGTCTTTATCTTCTTTTCTAATTTATTATTATTTTTTTAATTTGGGAAAGAATCCCCAACAACTGAGGCCTTACTAAGTTAGCCAGAGCACCCTCATGTCTCTTCCGTTACCTCTGTGGGGTGGCTGGGATTCGGCATCACTTGGGGCAGCAGCAGGGTCAGTGTGAGCTCAGGGAAGGCCCCTGTGCCTTGGTGGCTGAGGAAACTCATTATCCAGTTCATGCAGAGTTTAGCAGCTCACCCAGTTTGTTACTTCTCATAAGCAAAAAAATAAGAAGATGCATTTCCATTCTGCTCGCTTCTTGTGTATCAACATCTATACTTAAAGCGTAGATTCTCTGAGCATACAATAAATACTGATTCCACTGATTTATGAAGAATAGGCACAGGGTCACATCCTGGTTCAATATTTTGTCAATTAAACTGAGAAAAATACACAGCTTTATAATACATTTGAACTGTGCCTGTGAATATGGCTTGTTTGTAAATAAATGTGTTTTGAATAATAACAAAAACCCAGAAGTATTTTCCTTTGCTTGGAGCACAGTTCCTTGCGGGAATAGCATGGCCACATTTGCACAGATGGAGACGGGTGTAAACTGTCGTACGTCACCACGTTCAGCGAAGCCTACGGTGACTTACACCAGCTAGGTGTCTGCCTTTGTGCTGTTTCCCCAGCTTACGTTCCCCCTAAATAATGTTTAATGTTTTGTCTGTAAATTATGCTCAATACACTGAACCAAACTAGAACGCTGGGTTTTTGGCATTAAGGAATTACATCTGTGCTGCTAAGCCAAGCAAGGCCGTGGCAGTGTCGAGCCCTGGGACACGGCTATTCATGCTCTTTAATTGCTAACACGCTTCCTGACGTGGTTTTGGCCCAAGCTCGCTAGCAAGCTCTCAGGCAATGCCCAGTTGCGGTTTAGGGGAGAGTACAAGGCAGGGACAGTTGCCAGGAGCATAGAGGAGACCTCTGTGCTTTGGGAGAAGCTTGGCTGTGCAGACATGGAGCGCTGCGTGGCTTCCGCGTCGGGCTGGGGACGAGCCCGGGTGCAGGTTCCTGTGCAGAGCCCTCTCTGTAGTCGCCCCTTGCTGGCTTTGTGGGCAGATTTTTTAGTGTGGTTGGACATCTTGCAGGATGTGCAAAAGCACTCACATGCTTCTTTGTTCCTCTGGACTTGTTGCAGAAGGGATGTGAGGTTTGTAGTATCTAAGTCATAGATGCCTTAGTAGTAGGTATCTAGCACCGGAGTGCCCAGCACCCTGTAGAGAGCAGGGGAGAATGAAGTGTCTTAGAGAGCCCAAGGGAGAGCCCTGCCGAGCTCCCTGAGGGCTGATCTCCCTCCAGGCCACAGAGCAGGCTCTGGACACGTGGCTGTGGCGGGAGGCTAGTTGTGACCCAGTGAATTTTGCACTTCCTGCAGCACAGAGGCTTCGAGAGGAGCTCAGCTCTTCCCCCTAACAGCCTTTGGCCAGAGAGCTTTGCTCGGGGTCTGAGTGTCGAAACTTCAAGGTGGGTCAGGAAATGTAACCTTCATCATCTACCTTCCAATGGCAGGTAGAGAACTGTAGAAAGAGAACGTGAAATGTGATTCTTTTGGGAAAACTTGTTTTTAATTATGCTTTTGAAAGAAGCCACGGCCACCATTGCTGTTTATGTGGAACCCCCTGACGTCTGCAGCATGATAGGTGCTGAAAACATGTGCTTGGTCCAACGTTGGGGGCAATAGGCAGAATAGTGTGAGCACATGCCTGGATCTTGCTCTAAATTGTGCACGGCAGAGGTGCCCGGCTGCCCAGAGGGAGCTGGGTTTGGGCACGTGCAGGGCTGGAGCCGCAGCTCGTCTGCCCACAGGGGAGGAGAGCTCCGTGCTGGGCTCAGGCACCGCTGAAGCATTTCAGGATTCAGATCTTAAACCCTTTTTGTTGGATCTGATCCTCTGTGTTTATTTCCTGTTTGCAAACGTGAACAGTGTTTTCTCCTAGGACTGATATTATGGTGGATATACGTTGGAAATTGGGAAGCCTTGTGAATGACACAGATGGGTAGAATTATTCTAGGAGTTTGACCTGTATAACCTGTGTAATCTAGTTAAATATATTAAAAGGTATTGTTTTTGCAGCTCTTATCACTCCCTACTCACTTAAGCAAACAAATTTATCTAGACTAATATCTTTTCTCCATATCCTCTTAGCTTTATTTTTTTTTCTGTTTGTTTATGCACTTACTGCAAATTCGAGATCATGAGCTGTTTCAGAAAGGACTGTTTGTGCGATGTCTGGTAGTCCTGATTTGGATCTGTTGAGATACTGCTACTACCAAAAAAAAAAAAGTCTAATTTATGCATGCCTGTACTGTACTATGTTTTGAACAGCTTAACATTAGTAACAAGATTTTTTTTTTCTTGATTTGTGTAGCGTTTCTACAAGAAAGCAGCAGCATTTGTGCTAAGAGCAGTTGGTAAACATTCCCCACAGCTAGCCCTGGCAATAGTTCAGTGTGGAGCACTGGAAACACTTGTGATTTGTTTGGAAGATTTTGACCCTGGCGTGAAAGAAGCTGCAGCTTGGGCCCTTGGTTATATTGCCCGCCACAATTCAGGTAACAGGTTTCATATGTGTTATCTTTCATCGTTGTGTTATGTGAAAGTTGTAATAGATTGCATTTTGGTATTTTTAATTGTTCAGAACAAGATGCTTTTGCACTGTCAAGAAATTTCAAATTTGGAATAAGAAGCTGCTGAAAGCTTACAGATTTGCCAGTGCAGCACCATTAGTGGGAAAGTGGCATAGCTGACAGCAGCAGTGCCGGATTGTGTGGGAGATGCTCTGAGAGGACATGTGCTGGACCTCAGTCCTGAAAATTACATTCTAGTTTATTTTGTTTTGTGAAGAAATCTCGGAATCTGTATACATTATAAAACAGCTACTGTGAAGCAAAGTTTATTTTGTTCCAATGTTAGCTCTTCTTGTTTTATATACAGAGAAAAAAAGAGAGGCCTAGGTAGAACCAAGTTTCGTCCAGTTGGTAGCACTGCCTGCAGCGTTAACGGTGCCAAAGTCATTGCAGTTGCCAGTGGACCACGCTCTTCTCTGGGAGTCAGGAATAGATGCTAGGAATCTGATATTGAGCAGCTTACTGCTCTCTCGGGTGGTTATGTAACTCGCTGGTAGTGTCATGTTCCTGTTCAAAAGCTGATCCACATAGCAGATAATTCCTTTACTAGCTGCTTATATAGTTCAAGTAAAAGAGTTTGGAGGTATGGGTCACAGAAATGAGGGGAGAAACTGCTGGATGGGAAGGGTAGGAGGAATGGCTTTTGTTCAAGTAGTTTAAGGTTAAAATTACTCCAGGGTCACAACATTAGCTGATATATTTATGTTAGGATTTAGTTTTAAAATATACTTAGACTGGATTTGAAAGTGATTTTTTTTTTAAATCTGTGTGATGTGCTGGAGTGTAGAAGAAGGTGTGGGATTTCCTTGTCCCACTTAGAGAGGGGTAATTTGTGGGAATGGACTCCAACATTTGTCCTAATGGGTTTCTCTTTTTCCAGGGAACAAAACTCATTTTGAGGGCACTTCTGAGTGCTAAAGATCTTCTACTTTTTGATTGCTAGACCTGAATCCCATCCCTGTTAGAAATTAAGTGTTGCTTCCATCTGAAGTGTGTTTGTTGAAGTGTCATTTTAAAGTGTTCACTTGTGTGAATGTGTAAGTTCTGTGTTACCCTGAACATAAACAGTTCTGTAGTTTTGTTATGTCAGTAAATCAATATTGACTTGCCTCGATTGCCCTTTGTGCTATTCATTGCCTGAACACTGGCTGATCTTTAGGGTGATCCAGTTTGCTCTGGGGCGGCCCTGTCTGCAAAGATGGGGGTGATGAAGGGGTGCCGAAGACAACCAGCGCCGTGTACAAATTGAGCAATTTCCATGGTTGTGAACTGTTTATTCACTGACAGTGAGTGGGTGTATCTCTCATGTTAATTTACACGAGCAATAGAAACAGCAGTTTCCAAAATCAAGTTGAAATTGCACGTGCTACCATGCTGCAAGCTTCAGGGCATAGATCTTTTTTTTTTTTTTTTAAAAAAAAACAACAACAAAAAAAAACAGGTCTTCCCCAGCTGCCCAACTATAAGTCATTTGGGGGGCTTTGCCTTCCTCTAAAACATGGCCACAGGAAGTCTCTTAACTGATGATTACTGGGGGTAAAGAAGCTGTATTGGGGAAAAATTACTCCATACGTGGTATGTTTATTATGTGTATCTTATACTGCTATATGCATGCCTTTGTAACAGGATATTGCTGGAGATGGGATACAATGATAGATGGACCTGTTCTTACCAACATCTGGTGTTTACTGTTGAAGAAACACTGGATTAGGCTCACATGCTTGTGTTGGCAGCTCTGCGTTTCTCTCATTGACTGTCTGTGGATACATATTGCAGTCTGAGCTCTAAAAATAGAATTGGGTGTGAAATGTTTTCCCCCACCTACAAAAGATTTTTCTGATTCAAAATTGTTTCTATTCCAAACTGGGACAAGATAAAGGCAAGATTTTTTTTTCCCCTCCTGGAAAGAAAAAAAAAAAAAAAAAAAAAGAAGTGTGTGGGATGTTGCTCCTTTGTTCCTGGCAGGAATAGCTCAGTGATCTGGATCCTTGCCGGGGATGCTGGAGACAGATTAAAGCCCCAACGTGTTTTAGGCAGGATGTGTCTCCCTGCGGGCAAGCAAAGGCTCTCAGCACTAGGTGATGCCTCTTCTGCAGTGGGAGGGTCTCCTTGCTTTTTATCAGAAATTCCATCCATGACTGCGTAAAACTGCTCTCTCAGATCTGTGGCATACATTCCTATTTAAAAAAAAGACTTTCGCTATTTTTTTTTAATTGAAGTTTTCTGGTTAGTAAAAAAAAAAAAGAAAAAGAAAAACCAAAAAGCACACTATCTTCATAAAGCAAGCACTTAAAATGCTTTGGGAACAGATGTCTCCAGAAGTCATTGGATTCCTTGAGATTTTAGGTCAAGACAGATGTCTTGTGAGATTACAGAACATGGGAAGAACATGTCAGATTCCAGATTTTGGCAGTAGCTTGTGCAGTTCCATTGCTCGTTTGCAGGTTCCCTTGACTTGAATCTCAGACACTAATGCCATTCCAACACATATGGATCAGTGTGCTGTAATTTTGCCATTCCTCATTTCTACTATGTATAAATGTTTGAAAGGAAGTGCAAAGTGTTTGAAATACCATTAAGTCTGTGAAAATTATTTTGCGAATAAATAACTTTTGCTAATACCATATTCAGCGAGGGGTTTAAAGTGCAGAGTTCTTAGGTTTGAGAGGCATGCAAATGACTTACCTTCCCATTTGCTTTGCCTATGTAAAATGTATGATTTATTCATGCTTTCTTACCTGCTACAGCATATTGCAAATGGGTAGGAAAACAAAAACAAACAGCACTCTATTTGCTTACACACAAGAATGTTGCTGAGGGAGGAATTATACTGATTTTCTGTCATACTGGGATTCCCCTTAGGATCACGGGATAATTCAGGAAGGGACTTCAGGAGGTCTCTAGTCCAACCTCCTGCTCAAAGCAGGGTCAGCCACGAGGTCAGACCAGGTTGCTCAGATTGTCAACCATTTGAGTGTAGTCGTTTGTCCTATTAAGAAACTCATAATTAATGACCTTTGTTCCTCTGCTGGGGAAAGTTGTTTTTATTTTTCTTTTTTCTTTCCACTGGTTTTGATGTTATCTTTAGTACTGTGCTTGTACTGGCCTGCATAAAACTGTGATTTTGAAGCGGTGATAGTGATTGGAGTCTTCACACAATCACATAGTCCTCAGAATAATGCAGTTGGAAGGTCGTTCTGGTCAAAAGCTGCTATCTCTAGTGGACAGAGCTGCCACCAAAGCAGGGGGTGGTCCCAAGGTCCCTACTCTAGACAGAAAACTGCATTTACTTCCAAGTGGAGGTTTGGAGGTTCGTCTGCTACCTGACACTGAGTGAACCTCGTGTTGGTTCTCAGCTGAGTTCCCTTCCCTGGGACTGTTTGCACATTTACTTCCCTGTCCTTGTCTTTTCTTCCCAAACTATTTTTTTTAATCTATTTTATTCTTGCTAGCATGAAGGGAATTTTTTTAGCAACACTTTAAGCTATTTTAGCTCAATCCTGTAGACTTGCCATTGACTTCAAAGGAAATAGACAAAAGAGCTTGACTCCTTTTTTGTTTGCTTTATGCCCTTTCTAATCAAGAGGGCTCACGACTAGGCCTCGGCATCCTTTGCATTCAGTTCTCTGTCCCTGATGAGCACATATGAATTGAGAAGAGCCTTCAAGTAGAACTCCTAGCCAAACTGGTGGCTCCTTACGATCTTTTTATCAGTCTTTCTCCTTCAGTCTGCCTGCCGTATCTGCAATATCTCCCTCTAGTAAAATTCTCCTTAGCTTTCTCTCGACAACTGATCTGTGGTGGTTTATGAGTCCAAGTTCTCTTGTCTCTGTGCATATGTCGAATAATATATGCTACGTTCTCTCATGCAGGGAAAAGTCCTACCTTATTATCATGTGGCTGGAAGATCCCTTGATCTGTGCCTCAAATTGCAGTCCAGAGCCCTGGGTTTTCATACTTATTGCTTCTGCAAGTTTCATAACTAGTTTTTCTTTGCTGTCTTTCTCCTGCTTTTCAACTATTGGTCTTTTTCCAGGTTCACAGACCTGGCATAGTGTTCAAAAAAGTCTTTTTTTTTTTTTTTGGTGACTGGTTCTATCTTATTTGCTTTGACTAATATTAAAAAAATATACTGGAACATATGTATTTTCTCCTTTAGCTCTTTCTCAGACTGCATTTTTTTCCCATTTTTATCTGTATTCTGTATCTGAATAGCAAAGTTTGAATTCTTTGGCATATAATTAGAATTAAAGACATTCTGCCAAGTGGAAAGGTTAATTGAGTCTGAGTCTCCTTTTGAGAAAAAAAAATGCAATTATCATAGAATCATTAATTCTTAGAATCATAGTTTTGGGCTGAATTTGCAGTAGTGATGGGATGGGAATATACATACTTCTTTGTCCCTCCCTTAGTTTTCCTGTTTTTCTGTCAGTCCACTTACTGCTCATCTTTTTTTGGGCACATGGTCCAAGCCTGTACATGGTAAGTTAATAGTCATGAATTTTATAAACATCACTGGAAGAACAAACATTTAATTAAACATGACTGACAGTAACCGTCAGCACTTATATGGTATCAGTGAGTGGTTTAAATTGAATCCGATTTACTCTGCCTTTTAAAAACAGTTTGTATGGATATTTTTACATGCCTGCGCAAAGCTGTGACCTTCAGGTGTTGCTCTTTCTCTTGCCACTTGCCCTTCGTGATGATAAAGAATCGGAGAGACTTGTTCTGCTGGTGCAACCCTGCACCTCCTGACCATATTTTCCTGATACTCACATCTCCCTGCAGGCTGGAGGCAATTGCAGTGCTTGCACTGAAGCTGCTCATGAGCGCAGTCCATAATGGGGTACTCTCATGGACTATCTGTTATTATAAGTTTTCATATCCTTCAGTGGATCTTTGGTTATTAGATCGTTGTGTATTTCTCCTAGTCAGTGTACAGCATACATTTTTGAAGAGATCAAGAGATCAAGCATGTTTCTTTTCTTTTTTTTTTCTAATGGAAAATTATGTTGCTCTCTTTCTTTTTGAGATATCTATGTTTAGACATTTGAGATATTTTATTGAGATATTTGCAGATCTGTTTTCAGGTAAATTTTCTTACAAATTTGTAAAATTGAGGGTACAGGTTATTGTTGAATTCCTATGATTTGTGTGTGTTTGGAGGTGCACACTCTACATTTTCAGCCAAGTAGTTTTTTTTGAAAAGTGAACCTTGAAGGGCTAATCTTCTATTAGTTTATGAAAAAAATCCTTCATTATTTATTAGGGATTTGTAAATTAATATTTATATTTTGCTTAAAATATGTCATTTAAAGGAACATACAGTGTAAATATTTGAGACATTACATGTATTGCAGTGTGTGACTGTAATTCACTAATTGAAAAAAGATCTGCTCAGGAACTTTATTTGGATATTAACAGCCTAATGATGACATGACATACAGGTTTCATGAAAAACTGTATTAGTCTATGTATATTTAATGAAGTACGATCTATTTTTCTTAGTATGAAAATCTCTTTATTGATGAACTATAAATCAAAAGCTAAGTTAGAGACTTAAAATACAATAGCCATATGTTGCCATGGTATTGTAAGTCAAGATAAATGTTGGAGATAATAATGGATATGCATAATATGGTGTAGCAAAACTGTATGAAGAACCTAATAGAGTATTGAATCTTACATGATTTTTATTACTTTGTACCACTCTTTTAAAATAGTGGAGATTGGATATAGTATGAATTTTGCTTGTGGTATCTGGTAATTTCTTTCTTTTTTTTTTTTATTTTTCTTTTTTTGGGTCTGTGATTAATGCTGCATATAATGAAGAGAGCTAATGAATTTCTAATAGTGTAATTTTTGCCCATGTCAGCTCATCATATGTTCAGGTCTTTTGGCTTCATTTAGTTAAGGTACAGATAGTTAAGGATATTGTACTAATCTCGAACATACAATATCCCACTGATGATATTTCTAATTTGTCTCCGTCTGCATGATAACGTTTTCATATCGTTAAAGTATGAATTCTTCTGTCCTTTCCCTTATATGTTATCAAAGCCTAGTTTTGGTCAGCAAGCTCCATTTTTCCAATCTTTTATGCAAGAGAAATCTTTTATGTGTGTTTTCTGAATTTCTGTTTTTGGCATTTGATCTATGCTAATATCTGCTTATCATTTAAAGAGGGTAAAATGCTCTCTAATTAGGTGGTTGGTAAAATTTTGGTACTTTGGCTTTTCTGTTGTTGTTAGCCGTGCATAAAATGCTTTCCTATTGATCAGCGTAGAATAGCCAGGGTTTAAACAGCTGACATCTGCTTACTTTAAAAAAAGAAAAAGAAAACAGAATAACAAACCATTTCAGCCTAATCTACCTCAAATGTGTGCATGTAAATGGGGGTCCATCTATTGACCTGCATTCTTTTCAGTTGTGGATTGGTCCACACGGTTTATGAAACCAGGAGGGCTGATTTGAAATGCAGATGTCGAGACAGTGAACTACACCCTCCCCTTTTTCCTTTGCTGTATCTGTCAGGGTGAAAAATGGCTTGCACAAGGGTCAGTCACCCATACTCACTTAATTACTTTCCTTGGACCTACAGAACTGTCACAAGCTGTGGTGGATGCGGGAGCTGTTCCTCTTTTAGTGCTCTGTATCCAGGAGCCAGAAATTGCTTTGAAAAGGATTGCGGCTTCAACTCTCAGTGATATTTCAAAGCATTCTCCAGAGTTAGCACAGACAGTAGTGGATGCAGGAGCTATCGCTCACTTAGCTCAGATGATCCTGAACCCTGATGCTAAACTGAAGGTACATTTCAAAATTATTATTTTTTTTATCTCAGTTATGCCAGGCATTACTTGCTACTGAACCAAAGGCACTGCTCTGCATATTTATTTAGAAAGCTCTTGTTTCAGACATTATAAAAATGTAACTACATGGTTAGTGACAAAGAGGATTCTGAACATGTTAATGGTTAGCTGTTGGATAAAACTGCTGCTCTGTAAAGAGCAACTAAACTAATCTTTAAAGTGTTTAGAATTTATTTATTTATTTATTAAGAATTATATAGTGCCAGGTGAATATTTTGGTCTTATGCATAAAAACGCATCCTCTAATATTATCTAACATATTTGAAATAAATGCATTTTGCACAATCCAGTTACAAGAATGGGTTTTACACACTTCAGATTATACAATAAAATGGTTAATACTAAATGTGTTGCTATGTCTTAGAATGTACCATCTGATAGTCTGTGTTGAAGATTTTATCACTAGTTTAACTGACAAAAAATTGTTTAATATATTTTTTCCTGTCTAACAGAAACAGAGGACAACATAAAAAATGCCACTTCTAAAAAGTAGATAAAAATCTTTAATATAAGGTCTGTTGGATAAAATTCATGCTATGCACCTTAGCGTAATTTCAGTAGATTTCTCTAAATTCTTTTAAATTATAGTTTTAAATGCTGTGTGTGTACATATATATATATATTATATAGCAAGCTTGAATGGGATAAAACAAAGGAGAAACTTTTATTCAGGAACCAGCGAATGTTCTATGCCATTATATTCGTGCATGAATTGACTCAGTGAATTGTAAAATAGCTGTAATTGTTTTCCCTATCCTGCTTTGTTTTCCTTGATGCAATAGCTTCTTGTGTGCAGGAGGAGTGTGTGTGTTGCAGGCTGCTTGTACGTTGTTCATTTTATAACAATTTTTATTTACTAGCGTCAGGTGCTGTCAGCTCTAAGCCAAATAGCAAAGCATTCAGTGGATCTCGCGGAGCTGGTGGTTGAAGCAGAAATTTTCCCAGTTGTGCTCACATGCCTGAAGGACTCAGATGAATATGTCAAGAAAAATGGTGCAACTTTAATTAGAGAGATAGCAAAGCATACGCCTGAGGTAAAACCTTGAAAATGCAAATACAAGGTCATATCATTAGATTTTATGCTTTAAATAAAACACAGGATTATTCTGTCATTTGTTTTTTGAAAGCGAGGGCAAATAGCTGTTTGGTTTATTTATTGGAAAAATGTGGAAATGCTTGCTGATGTTATGAGTATTGAATATAAACTGTGTTAAGAAATTAGGAATCTTACAATATATACCTGGATACTTCATTCTATCAGATATCAGTGCAGAAAAGGTGTTTTGAACTGGCAGTACTGTCAGCCCTAGATATTTAAAAAAATCATGAGCAAAGCCTCATGAAAGTCCTAATACTGACTCACAGGTCACAAGAACATGTTTTAACAATTATCTATGGTGTGTATCTTTTTTAATGTTTTGGGCTGCAGGGATCTTTTTTTTTTTTAATGATGAGAGTCAAAAATTCACTTTATTATTAAACTACTGATAGTTTCTTGCATTAGCTTGACTCCATTATCTGAGTCCCAGTATTTGTATCTTTTTGACAATAAGAGATATGGGAAAGGGGGATGTTTGCCGAAGTGAATATGAAATAAAATGGAAAAACCTAAATTATGTCAGCTATATAAATCTGTTGGATTGTAGAAGCAATTCAAAGACCCTAAATGAAACGGTGGAATGAAATGCAAACAACATAACGTTGTGGATCACACTAATGCTGAGCACAAAATCACGCTTCTAGCTTAACGAGTGCCAGGGGTTTAAACCTTACGTCTGCGCTGCCGTTTCTTCCGCCTCCACGGGATCTTCCTGGGATCCTCGTGCAAGGGGAGCGGCCGCTCGGGACGCCCCGGG